CTGAGCAGAGCCCAGCTACGTGGAGCCACAGGTGAGAGTTGAGTGCCAGCAAGTGGACGCTAGGCGCAGTCTCACCTGCAAGCAAGTGAGCGACCACCACGACCATTACGTGAACCCACCGCTGACACCCCTACACCCCTCTTCTACTACTACTACTACTACTACTACTACTACTACTACTACTACTACTACTACTACTACTACTACTAAAAATACGCCTGTTTCGGCGACAGGCTGAAGAAGGCGGACAGGCAGTTTTGACGATTCTTTATTAGCTTACAGTAGATATGCTAACTCGTGAAATGTTAACCAAAATTCTGAAATGCGTTTCTGACTCGGGAAGATTACTTAAGCAGAGTTGTAATATCAAACAATTTACAGCATAATCCCACGATAATTCGCTTACTTCAGGCTGCCAGCTTTCGAACGAATTATCCGGCCACCCACAAAGACTACTCTGTAAAAAATGACTACTTAAGCAATGGGGATTTTTCTCATTGATTCTCGATGCCCGTGTAAATTTAAATATATTCCATCGAAAACATACATAAAGATATTCATCATTCTACTCGTTTGGTAGAAAATTACGTCCTTTTCAAATGTCATACTCGAAGGAAGGGTATTGTTCAGTTTTAAAAAAGTTTCTAAGGCTAAATCGCAGTTGGTAGCCAGGTTCCGTATTACAGGTGGCAGGGGGGTTTGTTTACTGAAGCTATTTTGTGGGGCTCCATAATCACATCTGACCCATTTGGCTTCCGTTCTGCGTTTGAGGTTAGGATTAGGGTACCGGTTAATGGATTCAGATTTTCGAGTTAGGGTTATGCCTGTAGGCTTAGGTTTTCGGGTTACGGTTAGGGTTTGAGCGCACGAATAGGTTTCAGTATTACGGTTAGATTTATCCGTTACCGCATGTCTAAGGGCTACGATTACGTTTACGATTTCGATTAGGGTTAAGGTTGCTGTTAAGGTTAACGGTTAACGTTTAAGGTAGAGGTTAGAGTTAGGATTAAGGTAAGGATTAGGGGTAAGGTCGCCGTCCGCTTCCCCATTCCTGGCTTCCAACTGCGATCTAGCCGTTTCTAATTATGAGACATTTTAAGACCGTGAAATGCCCGTTCCTAAAACACCGTGGCTCTTCGTTTGCTAATATTACTTGCAAAGTTTACGATATTACTCAAGTCCACTGTTAAATTTTACGAACCCCATAGGCCTCCTCTTAATAACCTATAGAAATGTATGATTTTCCGTACACGGAAAATATACAGCTTATAATCTGGGAACCCTGAATGCAAATGTAATGACACGTAGGGTTCAAAATTATTCGAGAATTGGAAAAGTTTCTTAAAACCAAATTATACCCTTCTTTCAAACATGAAATTTGAAGAAGACGCAATTTTATTTCAAATGAGTAAGAGAAGGAATGTCTTTGTGCACGTTTCCCATGAAATATATTTAAATTTATAAGGGCATCGAAAATCAATGAGAAAAATTCACACTACTTAAGCAGTCATCTTTTAGAGAGTGTAGTTTTTGCAGGCGTCCGGAAAGGAGTTATTTCAAAAGCCGGCGCCTTGAAGCAACTGAATTAGTATAAGATTGTGCTGCATGGTGATTGCTATTATTACAATCTTACTTAAGTGACCTTTTCGAGTCAAGGACGTATTTCGAGATTTTGGTTAACATATAATGAGTTAGCACATCTACTGCACTTATGTAGTGAGTAGTATCGAGACAACGAAAGCCATGAGTAGACGGCCTTGATGACAGGTCCCGAGTAGGAAGAAAAGATGGATGTCAGCAGGGAGATCTTTTTATTCTGCACAGAAAGAGTGAAGAATAAGTTAGGGGGGGGAGGGGGTGCTAATCTGGAGGAGGGGTGCGAAGCTCCAACGATTCCGGAGAAAACCGCCGATTGTCTGTATCGGGCATGAAATCGAGTAGCCGGCCTGGATAGCCGTGATTGGCCAAAAACCAGACAGGACCTCTCGGCTTCAGCGATTGGCCAGAGGTTGTGGGGGCGTCGTATAGGGTCCTCAGGATGTCAGACGAACGAATGCCGTGGCAAGAAAAGCGTAAATTCGTGCCGAACCGAGGTGCAGTTTTACAGCAGACACCCAGAGTAAGTTAAGCACAGTGGAACTGAAGGTGATGAAGCCTAGAATATGTCCATAGAAATCGATCCATTGCACTTGTACTTGGTACGGCTGCGATCATGTCTGATCTAGTCGACCTCGATGATGCCCCGAACAATACCTCTCCACTCGTGACGATCGGCGGCAGTAGATCTGGGCAGTTCAAATCAGTCTCTTCGTCAACGACGGAGACCCAGTACCGAAGGTCCAACAAATATTTCCATGTCTTGAAGAACTGCATTGAGCCAGGTTTTGAGTTGACCCCCTCTTCGACGCCTCAAATGGCGTAACAGTGCCAGATCGAGGGCATTAACACAGTCCCTGAAGTGGACGACGAACGCAGCGTTGATTGGCCTCTAACCCCCGCCAGGCCAGTGCCTAGTCGTGCGCAAAACCTGCAGCCAGTCGACAGAGTGCGTGAGGCGAAAAGAAAGGCGACAGCGCCGGTGCCGGCAGACAGTCTGCACTGGCTGCGCCAACATCTCGGGGATGCATCAGGTCAGGCAAGAGAGAAGACTGAGATGGTTTTGCCAAACTGTTGGTCGTCCGCCCTACATGTTACCCTCGGCCAGGCGCCGTTGTCCACTTGCAGGCGCCAAGGGGGAGTTCGGCCCAAAACCTGGTTCGACACAGTTCCACAAGACATGAAAGTGGTTCATGAACCTTCGGTAATCGGTCTCCGTCGCAGGAGAAGATAAGGGGCTGGGCTGTCGCAGATCGTCACGAGTGCAGAGGCATAATCCGTGGCATCATCGAGTCCAGCTAGATCAGGCACGATCACAGCCGTGCCAAGTACAGGTGAGACGGGATCTTGGTGTCAGAAGCAACGCTGGCTATACTGACATCGCTCCAGTCGCACGCTGTGTACAGTAGGTGGGCTTACTCATTAAATGTCAACCGAACTTTCAAAATGTTTTCTAGTTTCGAAAAGATTGATTAAGTAGGGTTGTAAAAATTACCATCGCGCAGCATAATTCTATAATGGTCTAGTAACCTCAGGGTGTCGGCTTTCGAATAAACTTATTTCCGACAGCATGCAAGAATTATACTCTGCAAAAAATGACTACATAATTAGCATGCAATTTTCTCATTGAGTTTCGATGCCCTTCAAAATGCAAATATATTTCATGAAAAACATGCATAAAAATATTCATTCTTTTACTTATTCGGTAGAAAATCACCTCTTCTTCCGATTTTATACTCAAAAGAAGAGTATAATTCGGTTTAAAAAAACTTTTCTGATTCCCGAACAATTTTGAACCCGACCTGCTGTTACACTTGCAATCAGGGTTTCAAAACTACAAGCCGCATAATTTCCGTGTACGGAAAACCATGCATTTATCTACGGTGTTAAGAGGAGACCATATGAGGTTCATAAAATTAAGCAGTGGATTTGAGCAATACTGTTAACTTTACAAGCCACATTGGTAAATGCAGAGACCTGACGATGTATGAACGGCTATTTCATGGTATTAAAAAATCGCACAATTAGAAACTTTTTGAAACCGAATTATACCCTTCTTTCGAGTATACAGTCGGAAGAAGAGGTGATTTTCTACCGAATAAGTAAAAGAATGAATATTTTTATGCATGTTTTTCATGAAATATATTTGCATTTTGAAGGGCATCGAAACTCAATGAGAAAATTGGATGCTAATTATGTAGTCATTTTTTGCAGAGTATAATTCTTGCATGTTGTCGGAAAGAAGTTTATCCGAAAGCCGGCACCCCGGGGGTTACTAGATCATTATAGAATTATGCTGCGCAATGGTTAGTTTTAAAACCCTACTTAATCAATCTTTTCGAAACTAGAAAACAATTCGAAATTTCAGTTGACATTTAATGAGTTAGCCCACCTACTGTATATATTCACCCACAGATATTATGCCTACTTGCACTTCATACGTCTGTGATCGGAGTGCAGGGGTGTCCAGTTTTGGGTCCACGTGAGGGTCGTAGCAGGTCGCTTCATTTGCTTCTTGCAAGTGTTGGTTACGCCTGTCAGCGATTAACTGGCACCAAACTCTCACATTTGGCTCCCGGGGGGCTGGGCTCTGTCTAGCGGCCACACCCCAGTGACCGCCTCGACCGGCGGACTAAATCAGGTGAGGGTAGCCGTCCCCCATCCCCCCCCCCCTCCTTCTTACCCCGCTCCTCCCCCACACTTCAGAAAGACCTCCGGAGAGGGCGACGTGCAATGCCGCGAGCGGCCAGGTTAGCTCGGGCCGCTCCCCACTAGACAAAGCGGTGACCATAATGGAGTTCGGCGGCCATCTAAGACGAATAAGCAGCCCTATTTAAGGACATTGGCGCCGCAGGTCCATGTCTGACGTCCATATCTTGGCCTCGGCGACGCCTCTAATGTAGGGCTGTAGTCAACAGCCGTCATTACGATACCTGGCTTCTTTGTTCACCAGCCCGCGGCGTCAAGGTCATTTGCCTTCCCAGTCAGCGGTTCCAAAGGCACTGACCTTGCAGTCCGGTTGACTACAACAGACGGTCACAGCTGTCCACGCTCCACGTGAAAACGCCATCCCTCAGCCAATGCATAACTCATCCCTTGGACACAATCACGCTTGAACTTGCCCCTACGAACCCTTTAAAGCGGCTAGTCCTCTCTCTCTCTCTCTCTCTCTCTCTCTCTCTCTCTCTCTCTCTCTCTCTCT